CTGGCGGTCAGTTTCAGCAGCGGCTGAATCTGGACGCCAGTTCCGACTTACATACAGATTCAACTTAAGAACAAACCTACAGTCCCTATCTTGTACGTAACCCGGGGACTGCCTGTATTCATAAGCCTGTCTGTTCATTTAATTAGTTGGCATGTGTATAGCTATGACTAATTATTAATATTACTGAGATTGGCTCATTAATATTCATCAGTTTCAGCAGCGGCTGAATCTGGACGCCAGTTCCGACTTACATACAGATTCAACTTAAGAACAAACCTACAGTCCCTATCTTGTACGTAACCCGGGGACTGCCTGTATTCATAAGCCTGTCTGTTCATTTAATTAGTTGGCATGTGTATAGCTATGACTAATTATTAATATTACTGAGATTGGCTCATTAATATTCATGTTGGGGGGCCCTAGATGTTAGCCCCTGGCTGCTGTGGTGGCCGATGCCTTAGCAATACCCTAAGTTGCCAATAAGAAAGGGAGAATTTATTGCATGAATGAGGGTGGTTAATATCCCTGTCCCTGGGAGGCAGGAATTATTGGCCAGGAGCTTGAAGGTGCTTCTCTAGGACTGGCAAAATATTGCTCTCTCAGTGATACTTTTCAGTTTTTAATTTTTTTTTAATCAATTTCAAATGTTTACAGTTGTATAGTGTTGGGGGACGGGAGGCCATAACTCTTTAATGACAACAAGTGTCGAGAATCACAACGTCCCGGCTTTCAAACCATTAAAACACACAATGTCAACATTAAGACACAAAAATATTCCTACATCAAACTCTAGTAAGTTCTCAAGCAGCATTTTGCTGACTTTGCCCTTCTGTGAATTTTGATCTTCATCCACGGAAGCTGGCTCTTTGCGGGTGCCCAATGAGATTGACTTTTAACGATGTTTACAGATAACACTCTGAGCCTTTCTCACCTGCTCGTGTCCATTAGAAGTAGGGTTTCTAACTCTCTAATCACACAGTCTTAAACTTCTGGATTAGGTTAGCATTGGCTGTGTAATTGTGTTCCGTAAACAACTTTTGTTTTCAGTTCTACACCTAACAGTTTCCTTAACAGCAGTGTTAACTTCACAGAGATTTGGAGGGAGGTTCTAGAAAGCTAGTGAAGCACCAAAGATCAAATATCTTTTACAGCTAGTTTTCTCTGGCTGCTAGAGAGGCTCTGTTTGTTTTCTAAACAATTAGCCAAGTGATTAAAGAGACACAAAGGACAGTGGTTAGAAATATTAGGTAATGAGGCCGTTTTGCTTAACCAGAAGTGAGTGCTGGAGACTCACCCCACCACATTGTAAGGGCCATAAGTTTTCTCTGCCATTATCCGAGAGATCCTACAGGACTATTTCAATAAACCCAGGGACTGAAATATTATTTAGATGTGATTCGCTTGTCATACGGATACGTGTTACCAGCCAATGGCAGGAAAGTTCACTCTGTTCTGGGCAGTGACCCCTGCAGCAGTAACAGGTTGTGCTGGCAACGCACCACCTACGCTCTCCACAACATCCCTCCCTGCGGGAGCAGTTGGTATCCTCCACCCTGCAAGACTTAAGAAGGAAATGGTGGGGGGAGGGTGCAGAGTCTCTGTGAGGGGGTAGCTAGTCACTGAGAGCTGGTGGCTTGGGTTGGGAGGAACAGGCTTAGAGGAAGGGGCTATAAGGGCGATCTGTCTCTCTCTCTCTCTTCCCCCTGCATCCCCACCTCCAGATAATGCCTCTGCACGGAGTGCTCCCTACCCCACATGGCTCCCTCTCACAGCACTGCCTCCTTCCCCCCGTCTGTGGCCGGAGTTTGGGGAGGCTGTGGGACAGTGGCTGGCCGCGGGCCCTGCTCTGTGCATGGTTGCTCAGCCCAGGGAGCAAAAGTGGGAGGGGTCCCCATAGGTGCTGCGGCCGCATTGAGCAGGTCGAGGCAGCTGGGAAGGCCCCCTGCAGTGTTGCTACCAGTCAAGACAGAAGGGTGGGAGCCAAACATCCTTGCCCTCCTCCTGCTGTACCCCTTTCCTGAGGACATGCCTATGCCCTTCCCTTTCTCCAGGGCGCCAGCCCTGCCTATTCAATCCTCCCTCTCTCTCTCTCTCTCCCTCCCTCCTTCCATCACATTCATCAGGCTGGGGGAGGGAGTTGGGGTGTGGTAGGAATTGAGGGCTGTGGCGGGAGAGGTGGGTTCTGGATGGAGCCAGGGATGAAGGGATTGGTCTGCAGGAGGGGACTCCAGGTTGGGGCTGAGGAGTTTGGAGTGTGAGAGGTAGGGGTGTTAAATTTAGTTTAATCAACTAAATGTAAAAAGACTGGAGTGCAGCAGGGGGACCCAGTGTGAACCGGGAATCAGCTGTTCCGGCTTGCTTCAGGTCCCCCCCGCTGTGCCTTTAATTTTTAAATCTATTAAGAGCCGGCAGGAAACTCAGAGATGATGGCTGGACAGTGGAGGGTGCTACCCTCAGCTGGGTTCATACATAGGGATGTTAAATTTCGATTAATTGGCTAATCGAGTAGTCATTGGAATTTCCACTCGGTTAGTTGATAAGAGGTGGGGCACTTGCTATCCCGGCTATGCCTCTACCTTTTAAAAGGCAGAGGCATAGTGGGGATCCCGGAGTAAGCGGGGACTCAAGTAGGGCACTTGCTACCATTTCAAAGGCAGTGGCGGAGTGGGGAACCTGGGGTGAGTGGGGACTGCTGCTGTTTCCCTGCTGCGCCTCTGCCTCCCCTGTCTCCCCTCCCCACAGAGATGGTGTTGGGGGGAACCAGCTTTTAAGCTGGCTCCCCTCAGTATCAGCTCCTCCTCCCCTGCTTTCTGCCTCATACAGAGGCAGCAAGATGGGGGGAAGTGACTAGTCAAGTAGTGACTCGACTACCCAATAAGTATGTGCTTATCCGGTAGTCGTCTAGTCGCTCAGATCCCTAGTCATGCAGCCTGCACCCAGGGGAGGCCTCAGTGTGAGGACAGCAGTGTTGGGAGAGGATGGCAAATCTGTTGGAAACTCTTGAGTGCTTCTGTAGGGCTGAGTAATGCTGTTGCTCAGAATCCCAATGATGAGGCTATGCACAGGGAGATCTGCAGGGAAGGGTCGTGATGGGCAAGAAACCCTCTTCCAAGCTCAGTAGCCCCACAGGGCTGGCACACGCCACCCCTGCCACTCACAGGCAGGAGAGGCTGGAGGATCTGCTTAGTGCTTAGAGAAGGGTCCTTGACCCAACAGCTGCTGACTTGGGGTTTGTTGGGTTTTCTGAAAAGCCTTCATTCTGCAGGGGTGCCTGCACAGTGACCCCAGCACCAAGGCAGCAGTCCATCCCACCCCTGTCCAACCAGCATCTTTTTATGGACACGAGTCACTTTGCTTCTCCCATATGAACTCTTGTACAGACCCCTCCGTGTGGTCCTACCTCTCTTGTGCTCACCATAAGGAGGAACCTCATCAGTTCTGTTGTAGCCATGGAGAGTTTTCTATTGTATGTCTTCTCAATTTTTCCTCGGTTACCTAGCTAACGTACCTAGCTTCTCCGGCATAGGATGCCTGAGCAGCCTTTGTCCGCGGGGAGCGGGCTCAGCACTGTAAGCCCTATGCTGCAGAGCCAGTGGCGTGTAACCGCTAAAATCTTCAGCGGTTACATGGTTACCTAATTAACCGCTTTTTAACATCTCTGGTTAGGATATTGTCAAGCAGGTTACCTACCTAAATAGTATGGGGACTCATGGGAATATTGGAGAGTCTACTGAATACAGAACAGGGCCATTGTTTAACATAATACAGTAAACTTCCAATAATACGGCACCTTTAGGACCCAGGGGGTGCCGGATTATCAGATATGTCAGACTATCACAAGGGGGGGCTATGAGAGGTCTGGGGTGGGGTGGGGTGGG